ACATTAGGCCCCGTTTTCTTATCAAGGGATAATATCTCGAATTTCACGACAACTCTAGGGAGAGATATTTCCTTATTAACCGTTAAATATTAATATCCATGGCCTTCGTTGATGGTTTGGCCTCCTCTGGGCGATAGAAACATGGAGGCAACTCAGAGGGGGTCAGGGTAAAGAGAAGTTGACAGTAGAGCAAGTTCAAGAGAGGCCTGGATTTACATACTGCAATATTCATAGAGATGGCTATAACTCTAGCCTATTAGCAATTACACACCATGTATATGTATGTGATATATGTGCATGTATGTATTTTTGGGTCTATGTATATGTACAAATATTAATTTCACTTTTATTGTTAATAATGGAATGATTAACGATAAATAAACGATAGTTCAAACATCGAAAACAAATATGAAATATTATTATAGCAATATTATAATTATTAAATAATCTGATAATGAAAGGACCAATTGATCAAATACAATATTCAAGTTTTCATTTTTTTTCTTAAATATTTAAAGATTTTATGTATTATTTGTTAATTAAAAATTTTTGAAATTTTTTTATATATTACTAAGAAATAACAACTTTGTTTTCCATTTTAGTACAAATGGTTATTCTATTGATTATTTTTATTTATCGGTTATCTATTATTTATATATTGCTATTTTTTATCTTTAATTACAATTTTCTTGTGATATTTTCTACTTGATCTATTCGATACACAACGATCTGAGTTAACCTTTCGATTGAGGAATTGATTTCTTTGTCCTCCACACGTAGCATCCGAGAGAACATGGAAGCAAATAAAGTTTTGAAAGATCGACAGACATGCATTCGCGTTTTACATGTCAATTTGTCAATGTGGATATCCCTCTCCCTTACCTCAGAAATTAAAATTTAAAAAATGTCGACATATGTCATCGACGATTCAATCGTCTATGCGTACATATTTCTTATTTGACAATTTATCTCTGTGAAAAATTGTCAGATAAGATATGTCAGATTTGTTGTGAAATATCAGATTGTGTAATTCTAAAATAAATTAGTTTTACACAACAAAACTCGAAAACTGTGAACAATTTGAATTATGATCACCCTTTGCTATTTAATTATTAAGCTTATTTTAAATATTTCAATTTTTCATGAAATTTTATTTGTTCTTTCTTTGTATGATTTATATTTATTGAGTTTATAAATATGTATTTATTTTTTCTGAATTGTGTGATTTCACAACATTCACATCGATAACGAAAGGAATCTAAACGCGATTTCAATGTCATAAATCAAGTATTCCATATTCGTATATTCGATAAATTGACAACATGGAAAAAGTGAAACGTACATCGAGAAAATCTAATTTATAGAAAAGAATTAACATTGAGAAAACAGAATTAACCATCTTCAGGGAATGACTAATGAGAATGCCTATGTAGGCATTCCGGTTTACAACCAGATTAAATGACACCGAGAGCTTATATATCAGTAATACTGAAATGCGGAGTTGTCAGTTTGAGTGCCAATTCATCTAAACGTAAATAGGAATGACGATTGAACTACGGCCAACGTGTTCTACGCATGCGAAATCGAAGAGCTTGCTCTCCAACTAAAAACTATAAAATAGAAAATAAAAAGTAAAATATAAAATACGAAAATAGAAAATAAAATATTTCTTAAAAATGTAAAAAGAATAAAATATTTATCCTTTTAATTTATTTTGATATACAACACGAAAAATATATAAATTCCTAAAACTTTAAAAAACAATTTTAAAAAACAAAATCACTCATCTCATTATATATCGATAAAATCAATATTAATCAAAAGTAATTATAAAAAAAATAGAATAAAAAATTAACGTAAGTGAGATAAATATTCGTAATATTGCTAATTCCAAACAATATATCCTACAATAAAATCCTACGATATATGTAAAAAAATATTAATTCCAAAAGATTAAGTTATCTCACTATAGCAGGATTAATTTCCATAAAATTATTACATTTATATAATTATTTATCATAAATGTTTCATGTTTTATATCAATCGCTGAGATATAACGATGTCCCGTTTAAGATTCTGCAGATTAAGTTTAATCTCAGTGTCAGTGCGGCACAAAAAGAATCATCGATATATTGGAAACCTTGAGGAGAGGGAAAAAAAAACCAATAGATCACACCATTTGCTATTTTACCCGCTGTCACATCTATCTGTTTCAAAGGAGCGGCGAAATTAAAAGCGCGTCTTAACGTTTAGACGTTGCTCCAAGTAACCGCATCCAACGACGCCACAGCGCAGGCGCCTTCGCGCGGCTCTCCCACGTTTCCTAACCACCCTCGTAAAGGGAAACGGTTTACGATATAGGAGCCTCGATAAGCGTTATCGATGCCATGATTTATCCATCCGAAATGTTTCCATAAACGATGAACCAACTAAACACTTTCACTTTCGATCACTATTAAAGTTATAAAACAATTTAAACCGCTTTTACCAGGCCACGCACTCAGCAAAACATCGCGCTGTGGAAACAAAGCGCCAATTTTCGCACTCGCAATCTTGATGAGATCTAGGATCGATTCTGCCAACGTCGGTGGCGCGCTCATTCGCAGTCAACGAGATATTATTATCATTGATTATTTAATGCCACTTTTAGTACTATTGTTTAGTACGTATACGTCTGCGGACGCTTTAGTTGCGTATATACATACGTGCGTCCAGAAGAAGCAAAACAATCTCCGTAAAAGCAAGTAGAACGTTAATTATGAATGAAACTTGACTCAATTTTCCGTGATTTTAGATTTCTAAATAATTGAAGAAAAGGCTTAAATAATTTTAAGTGACTAAGGCTTCCCATTGTTAATTTTTTTATAACATTGTTCTATACTGTTTAGTGTGAAAAATAATACACTATATATAAAAAAACATGTATCACACAAGTGCAGTGCAAACAAAATAAAATAAAATACTT